AAGGAAGGAAGGAAGGAAGGAAGGAAGGAAGGAAGGAAGGAAGGAAGAAGGAAGGAGGGAGGGAGGGAGGGAGGGAGGAAGGAAGGAAGGAAGGAAGGAGGAGGGAGGGAGGGAGGGAGGGAGGGAGGGAGGGAGGAAGGAAGGAAGGAAGGAAGGAAGGAAGGAAGGAAGGAAGGAAGCAAGCAGAGCAGACTCTCACTCTTGCCTACAGGCTGTCTTCATTCTTTCCCAGTCACAGGTCCATGTTAGTTCTCTGGCAACCAGTAAAATGGACTACATGGGTGGAAACTGTCAATGTCTTATTTACCCAGCATGCCAGGTCCGGGGCCAAGCATCGGGGAAGCACAGTATCAGTCATGGGCTTAACCTGAAGACTTATACTTTAGGGGTTCAAATGACCATATAATAAAATGTAGACTGCATAGCAGGAATGTGGGAGGCTTCCTAAGGAACTGGAGTTTTTGAGATTAAATTATCTAGCTCAGTCTGCTTGGACAGCAATCTTTTGTTATCATAACAGACCACGAGAAAAGAATTAGGAAACAATGTGTATGTAAAATATATATAGACATACATATTTAATTTTAATTTTATTAACTTTATTATTTAACCAAAAAATTGTTTAAGTAAAACAAACACCAAAATTAACCAGAGCTAAAGTCTATACAGCTCAGTATAGAATTTTTATATAATTATAATAGCCATTCTGAAGCTGTAGAACTTCATACTGAATTTTACAGTTTCATTACAGAATACACTTTTATGCACTTATCCATCACCAAATCTGAAAGACCCTTGGCAGAATCAGAACTAAGAAAAACAATTAGCTTCTTCTTCTCTGTTATAACTCAGGCTGGGGAGCTGGCTCAGTGGTATTGGCTGCACATGCGTGAGGACCTGAGTTTGGATTCCCAGCACCCATGTAAAACCAGGAGCAGTGACATGTATAAATAACGTCAATGCTTAGGGTTGGGGGAGGGGAAAGAGACAGACTTGCCCCAGGCGTTTACTGGCTGGCCAGTCTAGCTGGAATGGCCCAACTATACATTCAGTGTCTTAAAAAAAAACAAAACAAAACTTGTGCTGGAGAGCTGATTCAGTGGTTAAGAGTACGTACTGCTCTTGCAGAAGACCCAAGTTCAAGTTCCAGCACGATGGGTTTCCTGCAGGCACCTGCACTCACACGTGTCCCACTCCCACAAAATTAGAAAGAAAATTACCCTACATCAACGTCTATATGTCACGAAGAGGTACATGCATTCCCGTATACAGTGTGCACAAAATGTACACCACAAACACAAAATCAAAAAATACTCTAACGAGAAGGAAATGGATTTTGCCTATAGCCAAAGACTTAGAAAATACTGAAATTATTGTATCTTAACATTCCTGGGCCTCAATTCCATTTTTTTTTTCTCTTTTTCTTTTGACTGGGGACACAGGGGGTTGAACCAAAAGCTTCATGCACACCAGCTCTACCACTAAGCTACACCTCTAAGTCATGATTTAGCGGTGTCCTCAGATAGAGGAAAACTTTGAGGAGTCAGTTCATTCCCTCCACCATGTGGGTTGACGGGATTAAACTCAGGTTGTCAGCCGTGGCAGCAAGCAACTTTACCTACTAAGCCATCTCACTGGCCCTCTTTTTTTTTTTTTTTAAACACAATATTTCATGCATCCCATGTTGCCCTTGAACTCATTATAAAGTAAGAAACGATTCTGATCCTCTAGTCCTCCTGCCCCATCTCCTACTGCCTCCTACTGCTGGGACTATAGATATACACCACACTTAGTTTCACTTAGTTCTCAGGACTGATCCCTGGTTTTCATATATGCTAGGCAAACACTCTATCAACCGAACTTCATCCCCAGCCCTTCAGTTTCCTAAATGGCAACACAGACATTACTATGGGTCAGTGACCATTCCTCTATAGTGTGCGCCCAGAAAGCTGCCCAGACACAGTGGGGCCCGCTCTAGAGAGGCAGCAAGTCTGGGGTGCTTGAAAAATGAGTTCTCTCCTAGCTGACATCGCTTCTTTGGTGGAGCTGCACAGGGCGTGCAGTGACACTGGACAAGCTCACATAGCAAGTGCTAGACTAGACACTGCTCCGGGTACCCACGGGCCTCACTGTTCTATTGCCTTATTACTTCTGAGGCCAGACAATATGGCTCTACTAACTGGCATGAGAAGGAAGTCTGATGAAAACATCAATCTGGGTCACGTGTCCTTATTCCTGCAAGTCTGTGTCAGTGGCGTGTGTCTCACACTCCTGTTTTTCACCCTCTATATCTTTTACATGCTTAACATATCACAACCCAAGAAACACGCTTAGTTAAATGGAAGCGTCAGGTAATTGTGAAAACTTCTCACATGCCCCAGGTCTAAAGGAGCTTAGACTATTCCAATAGCTACAGACTGAGCAAACTGTCTTGTCTTCTTCCTGTTCTAAAAAGATTGCAGTATATAGCTTAGAACCTTAATTAAAAACAAAAGAAACACAAAGAAAAGAGTGAGACAGATCCAGCACACAGACACAGACACACACACACACACACTGAAAAGAATCTGTCTATAGTTCACAGGCAAGATCAACTCACTAGGAACCTGAGGAACAGCTCACAGGGCCACCGCCAGGCAGGGCCAGAAGGTCCTCAGGCCCACAATTTCCCAAGGGAATGGACATGTGAGCAGGCTGTCCTGTGGCTAGTGTCAGGAAAGCCAGAGCCTTCCTGCTGTCTGGCAATATGAGATTGCAGTTTTCCAGGAAGGGTGGTGCTCATTACAGTCAAGGGTTGACAAAGGACGGGAAACAGGAACCTTTTAGACAACCTCCACTCCTTCCTGTGGTGCTGTGTGCTACAGCATGGCAGAACACACAAATCAATCACAACCACTGTCTTGGAGTCCAGGAAATGCTGACTTGACATTCAGTGCCACCATCTCTAACTCCCTGATGGGCCAAGTTTCTGCTCAGATGGTTACTAGTGAACAGGGTGTAGAGAGGGTTGTACCCTTTCTTCCCTCTTTAGAGCTTTAAAAATCTCTAAGATGCCCTTCCCCAGCCCTGCACCAGTGATGTCCAGAGTACTACCACCGGCAGACACAGACAAAGAAGGACTGCCCGGGCCCAGGAGAGGACAGTGAGCCGTGGATGACTTCCCAGGGGAAAACTGCTGGTGCATACCTAGAGCTTTCACGGATATCTGCCGGGTGAGCGGAGGGGGGATGTTGATGCACACCAGGTCTACATCTTGATGCAGCAAGACGTCATCGGTCCGGCTGGTGTAGAAGGTGATGTTCATCTCCTCGGCCAGCTGCTTTGCCTCCTCCTCTGTCTTTCCCCATAGGGCCTCCACGGTGAAACCCTCTGCCCTCAGCAGTGGGACTAGGACCCGTGCTGAGCTGCCAGTCCCAAACACGCCCACTCCTGGCAGCAACTTCATCCTGGTCTCTGCTCAACTGCTCACCTCCTTACAAGGGTCTCCAGAATGGAGCTGACCTTCCTGTAGTCCTGATCAAACATGGCTCCTAAAATAGAAACAAACCAGTTAATGACGGTGCTCACACTCAGGGGAGGCTACATTCTAAGGTAATTTGGAAGCAACAAGTTCTCTGCCCCCAAAGCACAAATGAAGTATTTTTCCAAAACAGAAAGCTGAAGGATCTTGTTCCCAGAACACTGGATGCCACACAGTCACCTACTAATCACAGAGAACACAAGCAAACGAATGAAAAGTGAGGTCAAATCCTTACTCTACTCAAGTTTCTGTATAACCCTGGTCAAGCTAATTTAGCCTTCAAGGCTTCAACCACAAAATAATGACTGATCTTTTAAACTTCTTCTTCTAAAAAGTATTCACTTAATGTGTGTGTGTACCTCAGTATATGTCTGTGCATTACACATGTGTAGGAAACCATGGAGACCAGAAGAGGGCATTAGATCTCGTGGGATTGGAGTCACAGGCAGTTGTGAACCTCCATGTGAATGCTGGGAACTGAAACCAGGTCCTCTGCAAGAGCAGTAGTGCTCTTAACCACTGAGCCATTTTTCTGGCCCCTGAAGTGCTTTCTTGGCTGTGAACATTTACTGGCTTCGTGATACGACAAGAGGAAAGGGTAGGAAGAAAAGAGCAGCGTCCGAGGAAAAAGGAAGTAGTAGCTACAACAGCACTTTGGAGACATGTATTTGGATGGAGGTTGGGGGAGTTTAATGGTAGAATGCGTGCCCTGCATATGTGGGTCCAAAAAAAACAAAAGCAAGCAAGCAAACCAACACAACAACTACTACAAAACAAACCAAAAAAAATTGTTCTCCTTTTCTTTTTTTGTAAACAGATATTCACCATGAAGCACTTAAAAATCCAAGGAAGTAGTAGTGTGTAGGTGAGGCCAGCCTGGACAATATGAGTCTATCTTATTATACAGACTGAAAAAAACATAAAAAAAAGAAAAAAAGAAAAAGGAAGCCAGGCATGGTGACACATACCTGTAATCCCAGCACTTGGGAGGCAGAGGCAGGAGGATCTCTGTGAGTTCAAGGCCAGCCTGATTTACATACTGAATTCCAGGACAGACAGGGGTATGCGAGACCCCGTCTTAACAAAACAAAATAAAACAAAAAGACTGAAAAACCAGGCTAGGTAATACAAGTGGTGGGTTAGACAGCCCTGGGTCTACCAAAACCATGAGGGAGACGGTCCTCAACCACCCACCTGAAAGACTAACCACACACTCAGTGAAGAGGAGGAAATACTGTTCATAGGGCAGCTTGCAGCTGTACTATGCTGTACTATTAAGACACTATGCCAGTGTCTTTTTGTCAACCACAAATGAGCATGGCATAGGCAGCTGGCAATTCCAGATCCTTCGAGATTTCTTGTTTTATTTGTTTGTGTGTATGTCATTAGGATATTTATCTACTTACTTTTAGACAGGGTCTTGTGTATCCTAGGGTGGCCTCAACCTATGAACCACACCTGGTTTTCGGTGCTAGGGACTGAATCAAGGGCTTCACCTGGGCCAGACAAAGCTCTCTACCAGGGAAGTGCATTCTTGGCACTGTTCTGTGCTATCTTTTATATCCATCATGGATATGGAGCCTGGCTGGCCCCTGTACACTACTGTTGGGATTTTGTCCTATTTATTTATCCTATTATTTATCCTATCCTATTTATTTACATTAAACAAGGTCTCACTATGAAGGCCTGCTTGCCTGGAGCTCACTATGTAGACCAGCCTGGCCTCAGATATACAGAGATCCACCTGCCTTTGCCCTTAGTGTTGGGGCTAAAAGGATGAGCCACTATGCCTGGACCATTGATTATTAAAAGCCAGGGATGTGCATACCATCTCTAAAATTATTCCCAGGACACACTTTCTTCTATTTTACACTGTACTCCTAACTACTCTAGTCATACATGGTATATGTATGTGATGCTATTTGTGTATATATTTACTGTATATATATGTGTGTGTGTGTATAATTTATTGTACATATATACATGTACACCTATACACATAATTTGCTTTTTAAAATTTGAAACAGGGCTTGTTTGTGTAGTTCTGGCTGTCTTGGAACCTCATTTATAAACCAGGCTGGAAGTTGGGTGTGATGGGGCGCACTTTCAATCCCAGCACTCAGGAGGCAGAGGCAGGCAGATCTCTGTGAATTCAAGGCCATCGGGGTATATCAAGTCAAGGACAGCCAGGACTATGAAGAGAAACCCTACCTCAAAACAAACAAAACCAGGCTAGCTTTGAAGCTTTGAACTCAGAGATCTACCAGCCTCTCCCACCCAAATGCTGGGATTAAAAGACGTGCACTGCCACTGCCCAGCGTTATGTATATTCTTAAGCACTGGTGATGTAAAACAACAAAAAGGCTTAGATTTTTAATGCCACTGTTTTATTTACACTGACTCAAGGGCAGCTTCATTAACACCCTTAATGGGGCCTCTGAGGAGACCAAATGGCATGACGCTAAGCAAGCAAGATGACTAGGTATTTCCTGCGCAAGCAGGAACAGCTAGTTTTCCTGGTTTATTTTGGTGGCTACTCTTTCTCACCCCTAAATTTCCAGCTCTTTGTCATAACATTTTTGCATATGCCTTTCACACTGGCCCTGAAGATCTAAGCATATCATCAGCCTCGCCAAGCTCACAAGAATTCTAATCATCATATGCGGTCAGGAATGCAGAGTACAAGTACTAGGTGATGGGGAAGGCTGCATAGAGGTTTGAAGCATGGTTTCAAATCTCTCTGTCACTTACCAGCTGCAGTAGGTCACTTTCTTTCTCTCCCTCCTACCCCTCCTCTCCCCTTCCCTCCCTTTGCTTCTCTAAGACGCTGTTTCCTACTACATAGCCTAGAACTCACTGTGTAACTCAGGTAACTCAACTCAAACACACAGCAAAGTGCCTGTCTCAGCTTTCCTGGAGTTGTGATCACTACCCAGCTAACCCCATTATTTTGTATGCTAACTAAATAACATTTTTAAAATTAGAAAAAGGGCTGGGGGCAGTGGCGCACGCCTGTGATAACAGCACTCGGGGAGGCAGAGGCAGGCCGATCTCTTTGAGCTCCAAGCCAGACTGGTCTACAAAGTGAATTCAAAATAGCTAAAGCTACATAGAGAAACCTTGTCTCAAAAAAACAAAACAAGCTTTGCTGCCAGACCTCCACCATCATGGGTCGAATGCATGCTCCGGGAAGGGCCTGTCCCAGTCGGCGCTGCCCTACCACCGTAGCGTCCCCACGTGGCTGAAGTTGACGTCTGACGACGTGAAGGAACAGATTTACAAACTGGCCAAGAAAGGCCTGACTCCCTCCTCCCAGATAGGTGTGATCCTGAGGGACTCACATGGTGTGGCACAGGTCCGTTTTGTGACTGGTAATAAAATCTTGAGAATCCTTAAGTCCAAAGGCCTTGCCCCTGACCTCCCTGAGGATCTCTACCATTTGATTAAGAAAGCCGTTGCTGTCCGAAAGCATCTTGAGAGAAACAGAAAGGATAAGGATGCTAAATTCCACTTGATTCTGATAGAGAGCAGAATTCACTGGTTGGCTCGTTACTATAAGACTAAGCGGGTCCTCCCACCCAATTGGAAATACGAGTCATCCACAGCCTCTGCTCTAGTGGCATAAATTCTCTTGTATACACCAGCAATAAAATCGCTTTGAATAAAACAAAAACAAAAACAAAAACAAAACACACACACACACACACACACACACACACACACACGGAAATAAATAAATAAATAAATAAAAGAGAAAAAGGATTTGTTGTCAGGTATGAGTAGACAAAAGTCTTTCTTCTACCAGTGACTTGTCAGTAAGAAAGCAAGCAATAGTGAAATACAGGAAACTGTTGAGATTCATCATTTTTTCTTCGCTGGTTTTTAAAGGAAAGAAGGGCTTACTTTGGCTTACAGTTCTAGAGGATAGTCCACTGTGGCATAAGACAAGCTGCAGGAGGTAGCTGGTCCCATGCGGTCCACACTTGAAAGGCAGAAAGCAGTGGTAGGCCACGCCCACGAACTGAGAAAGAAAGATCCCTGGGGTTTCCCCGGTCAGCGAGCCCAGCTGAATCAGAAAGTTTCAGGCTCAGTGACATGCTCTTCTCTCAAAAGAATTAAGGTAGAAGGGTTGGGAGATGGCTCAGTGGTTAAAGCACTTGTTACACATGTAGAATTCAGCCTACTGAACCAATGTTAAGCACCGGATGGGCATGCCTACTCACCTGTAATTGGAAGGTGGAGACAGGATCTCCAGAGTAAGCTGACTACCTAAACTAGACATATCAGGGAGTTCTGGGTTTGACTGAGAGACCTGCTTCAAAGCACCCACCCACATACATATGGAAAAAGAAGAAAAAGCAAAAGGTGGAGGGGCAGTTGAGATGGCTCAGCTGTTACCGCTAAGCCTGAAGACCTGAGTTTGATCCCTGGAACTCATACTGTAGAAGGTAAAAAACCAATTCCCACTCATTGTCCTCGACCTCCACACTGGAGTCATGGCATATGAGTCATGGCATATGCACACCTATACATATGTACATATGTATTGTCTTAGTTAGAATTACTATTGCTGTGATGAAGCAAACATCATGACCGAGGCAACCTGGGAAGGAAAGGGTTTATTTCACTCACAGCACCACACAACAGTTCCTTATCAAAAGCGGTGAGAGCAGGAACTCAAGAAGGGAAAGAACCTGGAGGCTGGAGCTGATGCAGAAGCTATAGAGGGGTGCTGCTTACTGGGTTGCTTCTCTTGGCTTGCTCAGCCTGCTTTCTTATAGAACCCAGAACCAATAGTCCAGGGATGGCACCACCCACAACGGGCTGGGCCCTCCCCCATCACTTATTAATTAAGAAAATGACCTACAGGCTTGCCCACAGCCCAATCTTATGGAGGCATTTTCTTTTCTTTTCTTTTCTTTTCTTTTTTCTTTTTGGTTTTTACAGACAGGGTTTCTCTGTGTAGCCTTGGCTGTCCTGGACTCACTTTGCAGAGCAGACTAGTCTCAC